AACGCGGGGCCCGCGTGCCTCGGGGCCACCCCCCTGCCGAGCTGCTGCTGTTCCTCCCCGAGCACGCTGCTGCCCCTGCACTTGCACGACAGTCTCTGCAAATATGTTGCTCATTAAATTATCTGCTTGGGTTGTCTCTCCCCGTGGCTGCAGGCTGTGTCGCAGGCTCCAGAGGCAGCAGGAGGACAAGACAGATTTTCTCAAGGAGTGCACGGTGGACCCCACTATCCGAGAACGCCTTTCCCTTCTCTCCCGCTCCTTCCAGAACCAGGTAGCAAGGGTGCAAGGAGACTCCATGCTGTTCTCCGATGAGATCTTCAGCGTTGAGCCAGTGGTAAGTGATAGCTGAGAACCTCCCTTCCTCTTCCTCCCTGAATGAGGTCACTTGGCAGATCCCTGCATCAGCTGGCTCGATGCGCTGAGAGAAAACATCAGGTTTCTAGTGAGGCTGGGAGAGCTCGTCACAAAAAGTGTTTCTGAAGTGTGAGCTCCCACCAGGCAGCAAGAGCCTGCCTGAAGCCGAGCTCTGCTCCGAGGGCTATAAATTACAGGCAGTTAAGTGTCCTTAAAGCGTTCAGAAGTGTCGATTATTATATGTAAAGGCACACCTTACACATAACCGTATGGGGATTAACAAAGGATATCAGAGCACTGTCGGTTGATGTGTTGACCTGAAGAATGAAATGGTCCTCTCTGGAAAGGAGGCCAAATTCAGCCCAAGTTTAATCACAGAAATACCAATCCTCGTGTGACTTGGACTTATACCACATCTGAGTCTCCATTCTAGTGTCATCCATGAGCCTGGATGCAAGACTGGCAGGTTTAAACGGGCTTTTTGAGTTCTGTTGCGCATAGGTACAGAATTTTTTTTTGGCTTTTCTGTTTAGGCAAGCCAAACCCCATGTCCTTTAATCAACCAGAGCCCTGATTCTGAGTATTTGCACGGTCTGAGATGAAGAATGGCTGCTGTCTGAGCAGGGCACAATCCCTTCTCATCTTTAGAGTATACCCTGGACTAAGTCCAATCTTTTTTTTTCTTATTAAAATAGATGAACCTAATTTTCTTTTGAGGAAAGAGGTCTTGTTTTCTTGGTTACTCCCACAGCCTGTGTAAGGCTGAGAGCCACCAATGTCAGCATGACCGCCGTTTCGCACCACGGCAGCCGAGAGCAGTGTGATGTGACCAAGAGATTGTGTCAGAGCAGTAGGAGTGTTGTAGAGAGCGGGAGCCGATCAGCTGAGCGTTCAGAGCATCCTGCGGTGCATCGGAGCTGGTTTTGGAGCATTCCCCAGGACTCCTGCTCCGTGGCAGTTGGACTGGGTCACCACAACAAGCTTAACCTGCTCCTGAGGGACATTAAGGTGGGGTCCAGGAGTCTGGCTGCCCACAGAACCGAGTCCTGGTACTCCATGTAGTGATGTACAGACGTGAAGTGTAGCCTGGCCTCAAGTCCTGAGTGGAAACCTCTCCGAAATGGCTGTGTTAATGTTACATAGTTTACTACAGGACTGACTACAAGTGGGCTGCTACACGAGTCTCTCCTGTCTCGGCCAGCATCATCAACCTTCTGTTTTCCATTAATTCCATTATTTATGGAACAATCAATTTCACATCCAGAGTTTTGCTCATGTCTGTCTTCTCCCCTTGACATATCTTTACATCAAATGATAGTAAATATTTTCTCCTCTATCAAATGTAGAATCTAACAATCCACCGACTTCCATAACCTTCTCTCTGGTGACGACCCCATAACCTTTACCTTGGACAGATGCTGCTCTTGCCATGTTTATCTGCTGGAAAGGTTCCCCCAAAGCTGAGACAGACCTTCTGGCCGAAGGTGGGAAGAGAGCAGCCACCTATCACCCGTGATGTCTGGGAGCACCCTATAGAAATAAGTAAACCCTTGTAACAGGCGGCTAGAAGCAATAGTTGGTTCCAGAGGTTAGGGAGCCGATGGCGGGATGGCAGTCTGGGAAATGCTTTGTGGGCAGGGTGGCTTTGCAGGGTTTGAGCAGAAGCTTTGCTGCATAAGCGGACCTTTAGCTGCTGGTTTTTTTCAGGTGATGCTATCTGTAGAAGCTGCAGCAGGTCACTCAGTCTTTACAGGGTTAACTCTCTGATGAAAATAATAACAAAAAAAAAAAAGAGGAGGCAGTGATTTTTGGAGTTACCATGTGACCATGAACATTTTGAGCAGCCGTCCAAGCCTGTGGGAAACAAGCTGTTATGCAACTCTGACTTTCTGAGCGCATCTCAAATTTGGTTCAATTTATTTTTGCAAGTACACATGATATGTCAGCAGAAGCAGCTGTGATAGAAGCCCAGGTGGCTACCAAAGGACAAAGTCCTTGCTTTTTGCTGCATCCTCCCCACCACAGCTTAGCTGTAAGTCACATTGCAGACACGTGGGAGCTGACTCCTTGGAAATGGAAACCAGAGGAAAGGGAGGACAAGGATTTATTATCATTGCACTGACCTTGACAAGTGTGTCATTGCCTGGTGGTGACTCCTCAGTGCTGTGTGTTAACTCTGAGCCGATGGAGGTGGTCTTCAAGACGTCCGGGTTATGAAACTGCTACTGCTGTTGATCCTGAGGTTGGGCCAGGAGGTAACGGCATCGTTTGTTCCTGCAAATCTCCCCCTCAGCTGGGGAGCCAAGCTGGTCTCCATCCAAGTGAGAGGTGACTGCAGAGCGCTTCGGTTTTTGGCAGAAGGCACCATCTCCAGTGGGAGCTACGGTCCATCCCACAGCTCGCTGTGGGTTCAGTTATTTATGGAAAGAGGCAGATGTTAGCTTTGGCACTGCCTTTCTCCTGAGTGCCCTGAACTCGCAGGGTGCACTTTGGGCGTCATTTTGGTACTTCTGTTGCCAGCTCCTTGGTTTTCTGCCTGCTCTGAGCAGTGATTTCCTTTCTCTGGATCACCTTCCCCCTCTGCAAAACAAAGTAGGGGATTTGGCAGTTGACGGTGCCCAACTCTTCAAGACCAGCTTTTGCTTACTCAGGCTGGTGGACATCTAGCAGACTGTCATTGTGTAGGGGCTGAGGGAGGGGAAAATAGAGTCTGCAAATATTTATGGTTAGGCTCTTGCATAGGGATCACTTCTGTAGCTGTGAGTCGTGGTGTGCTATCCCCTCCTCTGTCATGTTGGTATTTATGCTGTAGCAAAGCCAGAGTACAACAGCTGGAATTTTTGCTCTATATCATCGTACATCCACCGTCTGTATCTTATGCCACCTGCCGCTTGCTGCCTGAGACATTAAGCCAGAAGCGTTGCAATATCGTGTTCACAGCACCCTATATGTTTTATTTCTGTCCTGGTTAGCATCCATGGTAGTTTTCCGTGCTCTGACTCGACTGCCATCCTATAGAGAACACGCTAGCCCAGGCAGACCGCTGGCTCCTGAGATGTCCTGAGGCTCTTACGCATGTAGCAGCAGTGGCCTGCAAGGGTGGGCAATGAAGCATATCCTTTTACCCAGCAGTTCTTTTTTTTCCCCTGTGGCATAGCAGGAACGCGAGGAACCTCTTCAACAGCCTATTTTAATTTCTCAGGAGAAATAACTCACAATATTTTTCTAGTTTTATAGTCTACCATGCAGCAGTAATGAAGGGAGAAATGACAAAAGTGTCCCACAGTAGTTATGTCTCGGAAGAGTGTGTTTTAGCCATGGAATAGTAGAATAAAGTGTAACTGATTATTTCTTCTTGCTCTCCACCTTTTGGAGTCAATCGCTCTGGCTTACAGCTTCACTGACAATACAGGGAAGCTGGCTGTGGACGTAAAGTTTCCACCTTGGATCCCGCAGAACGGCGATTTCGTGTCGGGAGCTCAAGAGATCGAGTCTGTTAACTGCTGGTGCAGGATTTCTTGGGAGCGAGGATGAGTGCCGGGCTCCGGTAATAATGCTGCATTAGGATTGTTCCGGAGAGCTGTGCTGACGCATATAAAAGATGGGCTTTATTACTTGTTTCCTCTGGTGCCTTAGAGGAGTCTCATCTGACTGTGCCTTGGGATCCAGCAGCTCCTCAGATCTGTGGAGACCTTGGTGCATCACTGAATGGCTTCCAGGAGCGTGGCAAGGCGTCATCATCCCCGGCAAGAGGGGGGTCTGTGTGCTGCACCCTCGTCTGTTTAGGCTGTAGAAGAAGAAAAGAGATCTGCCCGAAGCTCTAGGCTCCCTCCTGCCCCGGTTAATTGTATAGCATACAGAGATCCCTGCAACGCGGCACCAATTGCTGCGGTGTCGGTGGCATTGAGGAAACGATCCCACCGGGAACTCAGCCGCTCTGAGTTATGCCTGCAGGGACTCATTTCCACTCCCTTGCTGTTTGGAGATGTTCTCCCAGGTTCTTGCTGAAGCTCTATTGTTTTGGTGCAGTGGAAGATCACTGTTTTGATGGTCAGTTTAGGCTATCTTGGGCCAGGGTCAAACTCCAGAGGCAGATAAACGCTATGCCAGTGCTGACCCAGCTCCAGTTCCCCTTCTGACAGCAGCCGTGATGCAGGAATGGGATGAGGCCAGGACAACGAGGGGTTTGTGTCATGAGCAATGTCTCATACCCCACATGGAGACCAGCAGGCAGCCAGAGCAGATTGCAAACCCCTGGTATTGCTCTCCTGCCTTCCATGCCCATTTGTAAGCAGAGGGTGGACGGAGCCTCGGACAGCGAGTCCCAGCTGGGGTAACAGTAATGTTGTGTGCAGCTTTCTAGCCAGCCCTCTGATGGGACCTTGCCTTCATTTCCCAGCTGGTTTCCAAATATTTCCTGCAAAGATGAAGGCAGGCGTGGTTTTCTCTCCAGGAGCTGATGTGAGGTGACCTGAGGGGTGTCCTCATCCCCTGCCTCCGACACAAAGCTCCAGTATCCTGGGTTGGGGGAGAACCTGGGCTGTTCAGCTTCTGCGTTCCAGAGGGACGTAGGCTTTGTAGCCCCAGGCTACCTGTAGATGATCCAAATTAGATATCTCAAGTTTAGCAGCGTGAATACTCCCTCATCTCTCCTGAACACTTGGGCATTCAGGCCTTGAAGATTCAGCCCTTATTCCTTCTGTATATTGGGACCTGCTTGGAGAAACTGAGGCTAACGGTGCTGCCCTGCCACCGAGGAGGAGCTCCTGGAAGGTTTTCCCTGCTCTGTCAAGTCTGTCCCTGTCCCTGCCTCCATGATCTATTGCTGTTACCGCCCTCCAAAACAGCGGGGTAAGATCACGGTGCCGGTTCTGTTTGTCGCAGATGTGCTGCCCTTGGAGTTCGTCAAATCCCAAAGTCAGCTGAACTCGCTCAGCTAGAAAAGTGCGCTGTTGTTAGCAGATACATATTCATCAGGCCAATGTTCTTTTAAATTTTCTTCCTTTCCTGCTTAGCTTCGCTTTTGCTTATGAATTGTATTGCGCTTGCTTCTGTTAACGGGAGATGCATTGCCTCTGTCACCCTCTGAGTAATAACCAAACTGCCCCGGAGTGTCCGCGGGGCCAATTATCTGATGGCGGCATATAAAATAGACCCGTGAGTCCCGTCAGCCTGCCACCCCGCAGCAAGACAGGCCTTTCTTCCACAGTGGACCTGAAAGGCTGGTGCTGCTGTGTTGTGCTTAAAGAAGTTTGTTTTCTGGCCTCGGTGGAAGCAGAGATGCTCTCTGAGTTTCCCAGGAATGATTTGGCTGTGAGAACTCATTCTTGTTCGTATGAACTCTGTTTTAGAGCAGCCAGCGTTGCCTTTTTGACGTTGTATAAAAATCTCACTCTGCTTTTTCAGATAGATCCCAACTGCTTGCACGAAATAACACAGTCCCAGTGATCGGGGGCTCAGTTTATGGTAGGCATCGTCTGTCTGACAGCCAGCACAAACTAAGCCGCGTGCCCCCCGCTGCACGCGACCCTCGTAAGCCTGATGGCAGAACTACGGTCAAATCCTGGCATCGGTTTTCACCCTCGGCCTCGCTGGTCCCCTCCTGTCTCACTCAAAGACCTTCTCCCTTGTTAGCCGTCTGTCCCGCGAGGCTCTGCAGAACAAACGGAGATTTTCCCTCTGAATGATCCAGGTGGTCGCTCTGAAATTGGGCTCATTTCACTCCCACTTGTCTCTGAACTTCCCTCAACTTTACCGCGCCGCTGTGTTTTGGGTTTGGAGGCTCAGGATGTGTTAGCCATCCCTGCTTTATATCCCTCTATAAGATGCAAACCCCAAGCAGGAACCGAACGATGGCAGAGGACCGCAGGCGTCGCCCCGGGGACGGTCTGCCCAGGGTGAGGCTGCTGAATTCAGGCTGTTAAACACACAGCCGGCAGCTGGGTGATGAGTGCTGCTGAGTTATTAGACTCTAATTAGCCAAGCCAGGGAAATCCAGCATCCAAGTGGTTTGTTTTGATTTTTTTTTTCTCAGTGGCTGGGTTTAGGCAAGCTCTGGGGGTTGTAGCGGAGCTTGTGTTGTTTGGAGCATGCCAAATGGTTTTATTCCTGCAAATCCAAGATACCTCTGTGGATGCTCAGTCCGTGCAGCATCCCTGTGGGACCCAAAGGCTCCGATATCCAGCGCCCTGACTGCGGGTTGCAGACCGATGTCCCCAGTTCGCTTCCTCAAGCAAGCGTGTCGTCACATAATAAGGCTTCGTCTTCATCCAGTGGCTTGCTGGATAGAAACACGAAGTACGTTTGATCTGGCAAATGTGTTTGCTCTAGGTTTTGAGATGAATCCAAGTGACTTTATGCTTTCAGGCTTCCCTTTTCTTATTATTGTGGCGGCTTTTGGTGTTCGAAACTGTTTTCTCTGCCTGTTCTTCCCTCTGTTCTGTTGACTCCGAGCAGACTGTGCGTTAGGGAATTACGTGCAGCTACAGCCCAATAACTCACCGTGTCAGAGCTCTTTAATTTTTGTGGGGACTGTCCTTTGAGCTATAAGCGCTAAGTTGATGGGAAGTATTATACTTACTTAATATTTATGCTGCCGGAGTGCCAGAGGCTCCAGTCAGTTCAAGGCTCTTCTGGACAAAGTACTGAGGATACCCAGCAGCAGGCAGAAGAAAAGCCTCACTTGGTTGATAGAAAAATAACTCTGTTCTTTTTATCTCTTTCTATAAGCAAAATTTTTCATTTCTTAAAGTATTACTACAGCTGTCAAATGTGCATATATTTATGTCAACAAATGCACGGAGAGACATTTGTAATGGCGGGGGTTGGGGGGGAGGTAAGTGGTGCTTTTTTGTTTAAACTGGTCGCAAGAAGTGAGCGAGAGCCTTTACAAACCAGGGACGCCTCCGAAAATGAGCCACGGGGCTCCCTGGGACTCAGTGCCAGGACTCTCTGGGAGAGAAGCGGAGAGGGAAGACCCCACGGAAGCAGTGGTAGTACGGCCCAGACTTAAATCCCTGAGCATGACAAGGAAAAGAGCTATTTTACTTAATTTTATTTTTTTGGGGGGTTGAAAGAGGTGTGGAGCTGTAAGCAAATTCCATCTCTTCTTGTTTGAGCCTGCGTTCAGGGAAACAGGGGTGTATGTACTTTGCAGAGCTCAACAGGACATGTCCGATGCTCCAGTTAATTCTCAGGTCTCCTGTAACCTACGTGCTGGCTCGCGGGGCAGAAGCAGCCATCAACAAGTTCTCTGCTCCCTGGGCAGGAGGGCTTGTCCTGCTGGGTGCTGAGTGCCCCGACTCACCAGGGTACATTATATACTTAAATATGTGTACAGGTGAAGGGTATAAGAGGCAGCACCTTTGTAACTAAGAATGGAAAAATCCATCTGTGTGGTTTTTTTTTCTAAATCTCTTCTGATCGGAGCAGAAGTGTTCACGTAGCCATAGTGATACAGGGATACACGGGGAGGTTCGCAGGAGTTGCCTTCTCCTTCACCCTCTGCTCGATTTGCCAGAGCATGAACCAGTTTGGTTGTTTTGTTATAGCCCCAGTTTAACAAAATGCCTCTACCAGGTGCCAGTAAAGGTTAGGGACTTTGGCAGCTGCTTCCAAACTCTCTTATAAATTTGGTTGGTAAGTGTTACTTGCTCCTTGCCCTTCACTGATGCTCTAAATATAGGCTGCGGGGCTGTGGTTGAAAACAAGAAATGTAACGTTTGAAGATAAATGGTTTGCTGTCTGCTTCTGTTTTAGGAGGGAGACGTTTGGCCAAATTCTTCGGTTGAAATTAATGTGATCTTTAAACCTCGAGAAGCCAGAGTCTATCAACAAACTGTCTACTGCGACATCTCAGGTACGGCTCCTTCCTCCCGCTTCTGTTACACACAAATCGCCTTCCAGCCGGTTCTGGTTAGGAAGGGTCGATGGTGGCGGAGCCCTGCTGAGCGCGGGGCGTCTGAAGAAGGCCAACCTCCGGGCACCACGCGCTCCTCTCCGAGTGGGAATTGTCACCCTGCGGCTGGGTCGGTGGTGCGTACGGGTGGCATTGCGCAGGGCTGGCTCTGCTCGGCAGCGTGAACGCCCTCCCTGGAAATCAGAGCCCGAGCAGCCTGCTGGACACGCTCTCTGCTCCTCCTGTCTCACAGAAGCGCTGTCAAGTCTTCTTCTGGGAGCAGTTCTTGTGACCCACCCGAGTCAGCCCGTCCTTGCCCTGACAGAGGTGATCCCTTTGCTGTGCCAGCACGGGGCAGGGAGAGCTCGCACCAAGCTGCGTGGTGCGGGTTACCTCGTCCTTCCTCTGCAGGGTGCTGCTTAAGGCGTTTTTAAAAGCGGGAGGTTGATGTATCCCTGGGGATACATCCAGGGAGCAGTATCCCCATCTCAGAGGAAGCAGAGGTGCGAGGGCCGTGGTTCTCCAGCGGCCGGGCTCCTGTTCTGGAGGGCGGTGAAATCACTAACCCAGCTGCTTTGATGCTTTCCATACTGCCCCGAGCTGACGGATACAAATGTCATGAAACAGCTTTTTATTTATACAGTAGTTGCGCAGGGTTTACTTGGCAAATGCCACCTCCAGTAATTACACAGGGCTTGTGTTAACAAACTCTCTTCCTGCCCGCCAGCTGCGGTTGTTAGAGCTGTGGAGGGGAAGGATTGATTTTTAAAAAGTTATTTCCAAGGGATTTCTCGCTCAGTGCTGTGCTCCTGGCTCTGGGATTCTTGCTCTGGTTGATGGGGGTGTCCATCAGTTTGCTGCGGGGATCTCCAGGGGTTGTGCCAGGAGAGCTTTTTGGTTGCAGAGAAATAGGAAAACTACTCGCATGCAAGCCTTGAGCTGGTCCCGGAGTTACGGGAAACAAATGATCCATGTTGAGAAAGAGGAGCCTGCTCTTGAAAGACCGTGATGGGCCCTCGGGAGAACTTAGTTCTTCCACTGGCTCCTTGGAAGAGAGGACCTCAAGGAGGTAATTTGAATTATGTGCCTACTCCCCATCCCTTCCAGAACAGAGCTCATCCGCTGTATTGTCGGGATGGAAACTGTCTCTGGAAAAAAGAGATTAAAGAAGAAAACAACGATCTTTAACTGGGGACTCAATTAATTTTATTTCTTGGTTCCTCAAAGGAGTGTGACCGCTTTCCTCGTGCGTTTACATGCCAGTCACAAATCCCTTTGGAGCGGGGCGTGCAGATGGCGCTCCTGCTCCTTGCTGGGAACATTTGGAAGCTTCGCCCCGGTGCAGCACTGTGAATCGTGCAGCTGGATCTCGTGCCCAACTGGGAAGGGGCTTTGCTGCCCTCCACTTTTTTTTTTGCAGGTGCCTCCATAAATTGCTTAGCAGCTGCTTTTGGATCAGGCGATTTACAGAACTAGTCGGCACTGGGCAAGTCACAAAGCTGGCAGATGAGAAGTGGTTTGAAATTTGCTCTTGGCAAATATTTAAGCTCAAAATGAACTTTCTTAGTTATTCACGCAAATAAAGCTGTAGCCCTCGAGTGCTGGAAGGAAGCACATGGTGGGGGGGGCTCAGACACCTAAAATTCATTTTTAGGTTTGTCTGCACACAGAATCATCTTGGGTTACGCCTTGCAAAACCCCTTTCTAAGCCACTTTTGCAGGGAGAAGCAAAATCCCAAATGACAGTCACCCCCTTACCTTCTGACAGAACTGTTCTCCATCATGTAGAACTGTTCATCGATGTGGTCAGATGAGAATCGCGTCCAAAGCCAGTCACAAAACACGGGGACGTTCTGTGAACAGGAAACTGAGAGTCAGAAAGCAGCGGAAGTTAAAGATTTTGGCAAAAAAGTCCTGTGCTATTAGGCCACCTACGCCCTTCTTTATGTGAAAGCGAGGCAGCAACGCCAAATCGTACGCCCTGCGATGAATTATTCCTGCTGAGAACCAAATTCCTGCTCCACGGTACCAGGTGTGGGTTTGGGATTAGGGATAAGGAGGCTGTAGCCCCTCCGTGCCCTTGGTCTGTGTGCTCTGGGATGTGTTATGGTGGGAGCATCATGGGGCCACAGCCCAGCTGTACCCGGGCCCTGGGCAAGGGCTTGGATGCTCCTGAAAGCCCCAGCTCCTAGGAGAGCAAAACATCATCTCTTTTACTTCTCTCGACTCTCCTGAATGCTGCCTGTAGCTTAGTCTGCTCCTCATCCTTTGGGAAAAGCATCCGAGGTTCACCTGGAAGGAGGAAGAGCAAAATTTCTGGGATTTTCTAAATTTCCAGGATCAATGTAGGGGAGAAGAAAGGATGGCTTCCATGGACCTTTAGGAGAGGCTGAGGACCTACTGCAGAAGAACTGCCACTGATGATTTTTTTTGATCACAGTGGCCATGGGACATGTGTCTCAGCATAATCATGGACAGAAGCTTGTCACTTGGAAATCTTTGCCATTTCCCAAGAGCTTTGATGGTTTAGACCTAGAGTTTTTAATGAAAATTGAGCCACACATGATGCAAGATGGAGAAATCTTTGGACAGTGAGCACCCAATACTGCATTTTTTTATATCTGCGAAATACAAATAAACAGCCCTCTATTTAACGCCTGAGCTGTGAAACAGCTCTCATCTCTGCTGTCGGCTGGGCTTTGGCTGTATCCACTTAAAAAATATTGAATTCAACCAAAGTTCCCTAGCTCTTCCTTTCTGGCTTTGGACGTTATCAAACATCCTCATCCCATGGCTGCAAGTCTGAAAAAGTCAGTAATCATTGAAAAAGCTGTTCCAGGAGAGGGTTTTTTTCCCCAAGTTGTGATCTAATCACCTTGTTGCAATACTTGGGCTGCTCTTTCCAATAAAGAGTCGCTTTGGACATGCTCGAATAGCTATACAGAAGACTTTGTTTTAAAAAAAACCAACCTTCAATCCCTGATATTTAATAAATGGTGAGCATTGCACAAAAGGAGCTTGAAGGAAGGAGGAATATTTTTGCACAAAAGTTATATATGAAGGTTATATACAACTTTTGGGGCTCTCTGCTTGTGCTACCTGCTTTCTCTGTGGAGTAGAATGGGATGGTGTGAAGACCTGAGCCAAAATTTGAGCCAGGATTCAGGCACTTTGGGCTGCTCCAGTGGTTCAGAACAGCCTTCAGACTGAAAGATCTCATGTTGTGTCATCTTATGAAAGAAAATCAGCATCTTAGAGTTGAGTTATAAGCCATAAATAGACTTGCTAACATGAACATCCCTTGCTGCAAAGGTGACTGAGGTTTATCTGATCTCAGTGGTGAGGAGGGTGGGTTTCTGTAGTTGCTCAGCATCCTTCAGGTAAGGCGTCTTTACAAAGCTGAGCTCTTGGTACCGTGGTGGGAATGGGTGGGTTATAGCTTCTCCTCTCTGGAGATCCCAAAGCCCTGTGTTATTTAGGCGCTGCCGCAGGAGATGAGCCCGGGAGCACCCAGGTGTGGAGCTGCGCGTTGGGCGCAGGCGATGCTGAGATGTTCTGTGCGTGGATGTGCAGATCGCCGTTAGCAGGGAGCTTCGCCTTGCCTGGGCTCGTGCTTCTCGGCTTCTGTGCTGTCATCTCCGATGGCATCAGTACGGACAGCGGATCTTTATCTTAGGTTCTGTTTCCTGAGCTTTGTGCCTTTCCCTGAGTGGATTTCAAAGCTCATCTAAGCACGCGGGAAGCAACTCAGAGATCACGGTTTAAGCTCGACCTCACTTTTTCAGGCTGCAAACGGATGGATAAATTAGAAACCAGCCCAAGGGGTTAGGTAGGAATTAAACCAGCCCAAAGGCGTATCTCCCGAGGGAAGAGAAGGGTCCTGTATCTTCTCCTGGAGCATCTAGAGCTGGTCCCTCCTAGCCCAGAGTCAGAGCCTAGACCCTGGAAAATCCAGCATAAGAGGGAATTATTGTACTGAAACAGAAATCTCTCCGCAGGCCGTGAGACCAGGCTGCCCCTGCGCATCAAAGGGGAAGGCATAGGGCCCCGGCTCCGCTTCAGCTTTGACCAGCTGGACATGGGGAAGGTTTTTGTTGGATCAGCGCACAGCTATGAGGTGAGCTGTAGGGGTTTGCAGGGGTCCGGCTGGATCCCAGTGGCTCCTTGTGGGATTATCTGGCAACTTGGGCGGTTGTGAGCAGGGCATGTTTGATGTAATGGTCAAACTGGGAGGTTTCACAGAATCTGGATGCTTTCGTGGGGTCTGAGAGGTGGATATGTTGCTCGTGAAGCCTTAATCCCTGCTTTTTGGCAATCTCCTTTTGAGAGCAGTTGGGAGGTTTCAGGCAAAAAAAAAAAACAAAAGAAGAAAAAACCCCAACCCTTTGACACATGAAAGCACCACTGGGTCAAAAAGAGAAGTATTTAGAGGCTTTTGTTTCAGCCCTAGATGCGATGCACCTTTGTACTCTGGCTGTTAAAAAGCAGCTGGAACAAATTTCCCATGTTTGAACTGGAAACAGGTTCTAGTTAAGCGCATCCGACCGATTGTGGGGAGTCGGAGGAAAGCCACCCAGCCTCCTGGCTCAGAGCTGTCCCTGGCCAAGAAATTGGGAGCGCTTCCCCTTGCCCACCAGCCTCTCGCCACGCTTCAGGCTTGGTGCGACTCTGGCTCTATAAAGAGCAAAGCGTTTCCTGAAATGAAGCAAAGGAACTTTCTATGCGTTTGCCTCCCCTTCAGTGGTGTCAGGTCTTCTGCAAAAAAAAAAAAAAAAAAATTAAAAAAAAAATAATAGAGCGAGTGAGAGGTAGAAAATGAGGCAATACATCATGCCAGACACTTTCAAAAGCTTGACTGTGGCAGGGAAGGACACATTAAGGTGTTTCCTTACCAAAATATTGCGCGCTCTATGCATTTTTAATGCTGATACTTTATTGATTCTCTATCAATTTATTATTCTCATTGCTTGAGAAAATGTGAATAAGTAGGCGATGCCGTTAATGCTGTCCTAAGCAGCTAGACTGGAGGTAAACCTCAGCTCAGTGTGCAGTCCCTAAGTGCACTGTGTAACTAAGGCGTAAAACATGAGGAGAGAGTCGTTTTCAGGTTACCGCTGTGGAGTTTGAACACGTGAATGTTTTCAAGAGCAGCTGCAAAATCAAAAAAATAAGGGACATTTCTATGCTTCCTCAGTTTTTCTGGCCAGTTTTGCAAGGACAAGTCAAAGGGGACCGCTTTGTGTCAGCGGAATAAACCCAGAGTTGACTCCATGTCTATGAATTTATCGCTGCTTTATATAAAAAAAACCCAAAGGCAGCACTCGTCCTGTTTGTATTTTCTTTGACTTCTGCCAAGCAGCAACACACAGCATCTTCTGCCTTTTACAGATGTTAATTGTTTAATTGGAAAACACATTAGCCTTCTGTAAGAAAGGAAGTTTCCTTATGTATTTCCATTTTGCTTTCGTGCCACTGCAGGCGATCCTGTTTAACAAAGGAGCCATCGATGCTCTCTTCAACTTGGTCCCTCCAGCTACAGCTCTGGGCTCCTGCTTCACCTTTCTCCCTCAGGAGGGCAGGATTTTGCCAGACGAGCTCCAAGTCATCCGGATCTCCTTCAGTTCCACCATCCTGGGGCAGTTCACGGAAGAGTTCAGGTTCAGTGTGGATGGATCCCCTGAGCCTGTGACCTTGACTATCAGGTGAGGAGGTTTATAGGAGCTTGGTGGGCACCCAAGTAGTTATCTCCGGGTAGTCGTCTCCTACCTACCTCACTTTATGGTGAAGCAGAGGGAACAAGGAGTTGTTGAAGGTCTTGGTGTGGGGATGCCCCCAATACCCAGTTTGACTCTGAAAGTCTTGGGTTCCTCTGGGAAGCACCTTTGCCTTCACAGCGGAGCCAGGGTGGCTCTGTGACTTTCCAGGACACTCTTTGCGCAGAATTTGGCAGCAGCAGGTTCTTTTTGTGACCCTTTGACATCTCTGTGCGAGGACCCTGGGGCTTTAAATGACTACCCGTGCTGGAAAAAGTTTGACTGGAGGTTGTGCAGGAAAGGTGTGGAGATGCCCGCTGCCCGGTCCAGGTACCCAGGAGCTGGAGTGACTCCTTCCTGCAGGTAGCTCCTTCCCCCTTGGGCTGTGGCAGACAGTGTGATGGGATCGGCTTTGGGCAGTAGATGGTCAGGGATGTCCCACCTGAACACACAGCAAGGCCAAAAGGGCTTTGGAGATGGTTGAGAAATGGGCCAGCCTGGGCGATTGTGCAGCCAGTAGTAGTGTTTTTTTAAAATCCCCTGTTAATAATCCATACAAAATGGGTAGCAGCAGCTTCAACATCATCTCTCACGCTAATGCGTTGGGACAAGCTGTCCTCCCGGCTCTTGTGCAGCGAGCGCTACGGTACCTCCTGTCTGCAGCCAGAAAAGCGCTGATGCGGGAGACGGGCAGCTCTGCAGCAAGTACTGTCACAAGAACTCGGGCATCGTCCCATGGGCCCGTGCCGGTGCCAAAGATAATCCTCACGGAGCAAAGGGGAGAGGGGGGGTGGTAAAAAAGGTGATGATAGGAGAGGCAAAGCCCATTTCTCAGGACCGCAGCAGTGTATAAACTTGTCCCGGTGGGTCTTAACCCATGGGCTGGTGGGATATCGTGGTGTAGGCAGAGAGCTCTGGGGCTGGCTGCGTCTCTTCGGTGGCCGGCATCCTGGGCCGCCGCCGGATCAAAGTAGTGAAGAAATGAAAGGAATCTGCAGTTGATTTTACCGGTAAGATAAGGGAAATGGATAAAAAAGAACAAGAAGGTTATTACTGCAAGAGAGAGTGGTGAGTAGGTCTGACCTCGGCAGAGAAACAATTATGTTGGCTTTGTGTTTGGAGGGAAAGTGCTGCTTTTTTTGGAAATCAAGAGGGAACATTTCACAATCAAATAATTTCTTCCCCTCTGTCCCTCCCCCATATTGGTCACGGGATGTTATTGCATAAGCAGGTTTCTCCTTGAGCAAGGGCAGGTTTCGCTTGTAAGGATGCGCTTATCGCAGGTGGAATAGGGGGTTGCTCGGGCAGTGCCCGCTGCCCCGCAGCTCCTGAGGCAGGACAGAGCTGTCAGCGGGGGGGCGGCTGTTTTTCGGCTCCCCCGTGACCCACTGCAGCGGTGCTGGTCCCCGCTGATGCCCTGGCCCCCAGCGCCCGGCACGTCCTCCCCTTTTCCGTGGCCGCTCCGCTCCATCCTTCCAGCACGGTCCTGAGCTGGGTGCAGACCTTACGTCTGGGTGAAAGAGGATCGCTGGTCCTTTTTCATTTGTTTCTTCCCCCTCCTTGTGCTCCTCTCTGCCTGGATGGTGGCTCGGGTGGAGCCCATCTGCTGGAACCCACCAGCTCCCGTACCACTGTCCCACCGCAGCCCGCTCCTCCCTGAGATGACCTCTGCCTCCTTGGTTTCTGTCTTGCCTTTTTCAAGGATCCGTATCCAGCCCTTATCTCTCCTTCTCCAGCCCCACAACCCAAGCTGTTTATTTTCATACTCCTTTAAGATGTCCACCTCTTCGGGAGGTTTCAAGCACTGGGTTTAGTCCTCCGTGGAGAAAAACTCCCGGTTCTTCTGAATGGATGCGAGCTGGCTGGTGGGACGCTGGGCTACAAAGGAAGGAACGGGGATGAGTGTTGGAGCGGTTCTTCTCCCACCTTGTTATCCATCCTGCTCTGCAAGGGCCATGATCTCCCTTCACAAGTGCGTTAATGCTACCGTAAGACGCGGTTGTTGCCAAAAACACTGCTTTTCCCCCCCATTTCTTGCAAGCCGTACTGTTATCGGCTGTGGTGCACAGAGCTCTGGGTTGGCTCCTTGCCTGAACCTTCTGGGCAATCGTTGAGGTTTAACGTGAGCCCGGATACGCTGCGCTCAGCAGAAACGGCGGTCACTTCCCCGCTTGCCTGGCAAGGCTCATCCTTGGCGCTTTCCCTGTGCGATCCCTGCTCGTGGTTGGTTTGGAGGTCGTTTTTCCATCGTCTCCTGGGAAGCGCTGTGACGAAAAGCAGGTCTGTTCCCTTTGCTCCGTCCAAGGTAAGCTGTGAGGGCTTGGGAGGTTAGGTCTGATCCTCTGAGGTCCTCAGAGAGGGAACTTCAGCAGCAGCAGGGATTTGCTACCTGACTTATTCTCAGGAACTGATTAAGCTCCAAGAATTGAGAATTAGCATTAGATTGAAACTCCTGACAGTCTTTTTTTTTTTTTCTGAGTGCTTTCTAACTACGCAGTCAGAAGATGCCCATATCATAGGTGATTATTCTTTACTTGGAAACCACCCTTACAAGCTCCTGAATGCTTGTTTCTTTGGTGTTTAGAAAGGGGTGCCGGAAGCAGGACACCACGGAGCAACACGGGTCCCTCCTGTGGGATGCTGGGCTCCGTCCACATGTAGAACGTGAATAAAACTAGAAGGCACTGTTCACTGTGGTCCCCGATTTAACGAAGAGGCAGAGCTGCCGTTGATTGGCATCAACCACAAAATAAATTAATGAACGTTGTGCAGCTCCAAGCGCCGATTTCAGTGGATGTTGGTGAATTTGGAGCCTTGATTTCTAAGGATGGGCGAGGAGGTGTGGTGGGTTCAGGACACCCGTGTTCGGTGGTTTAAGACGTGTTGCTCTTGGATGTGTCAGCTGGTGACAAGCTGATACTTTCCTCTGAAACTGAGCTGTCCGCTGTGTAGAGCTGTTGGTGCTCTCGTTGCGGTCACCGGGTGTCTGGGCGCTCCCCTGGGTTCCTGCCTCAAAATCCTGCGTGCCTAATGATTGTGTGGATCCAGAGCTTCCGAGGAAAAGATGTTCATGTGCTCAACGGCAGCACCACTTCCAGCTGAGATACTAAAGCTGGGAGCCTGCGGCTGGGAAGGCTAGTTGCAATGAGTCCGCTTTTGTGCGGATATCTGTCGTCGCGTTACAGATGGGGAAACTGAGGCACGGAGCCAACTTGTTCAGGGTCCTTCATCAGGCCAGCAGCAACCTGGGGGTGACCCTCGGGCCCCCGCCTGACGCGGTGCCCTAAGCCGCATCAGCAGCTGTCGGCACGGGGCTTTGGCTGCCTCCTGCCCACGTGGATGCTGAGCACAAGGGCGACAGGTCGATTTGAAACCCACCGTGGTTCTGAGACCGGCTTTTATCCACCCGAGCCGTAAGGAAAGCTGAAAGCTTTGCGGTTCTCTTTACCCAAGCCAATGTCTCCTCTGCCTTTTGTCCTCACAGGGGCTGCGTCATCGGACCGACTTTCCATTTCAACGTACCTTCCCTCCGCTTCGGTGACGTCTCCTTTGGTGAGTGTGCCCTGGGCTTGGACCACAGGTCAAAGAGGTCTGCGCCTTACCGAAACGGAGAGCGCTTCACCGTGAGAGTCATCCGTCACTCGTGTTCCTCCACAGCACCCTTGGGGGTGTTAACACCAGGGCTGCATACCCTCGGCGGCAGAGTGGCCGCCACTGGCCTTCTGAGAGTGCCCGCCACTGTCCTTGTCCCCAGGGGATGGGAGATGGAGGAGGGAGCTGAAGCCACGTCCTAGCCCGTAGCTGCTCTGGGTAAATGTCGCAGGGACAGGACACCGTTTAGTCGCCTGACATTTAGTGTGAGATGTTAATTAGTGCTGTGAGGGCACGTCGTTATCATCTCCCGGGTAATATGCCCAAGGAATAGCTCTGCATCAGGCAGTGATGTTCCCCCCCACCCCAGGACATCCCCAGGGACGTGTGATCCTGCTCCGCTGACAGAGCTGGTGGCTGAGCATCCAGAGCGTCTCCATTGAAATGCAGATTCTGGTTCTCTATCTCCGTCTCACAAAAGGCTTTTTGCTGAGATGATCTAAAGTTTAAATGTGAAATCAATTGTGGATTGATTGAAGGGCCATTATCATTCTGCGCCCAGGATGCCTCTGTGTTTTCATGCTGTTCGTGGACTTTTTAAGAAAACTCATTACCTTTCCTGAGCCGCTTCCTCCCCTCCCTACATCACCACTCTGCCACTCCTTTGTTCCCTTTTGAATAAATAAACCAAGAAACGCACCAGGCAGAAATACAGTTATGCAATAGGAGATTCATCCTACTTAATCTGATTTCATTAATAAGGCCTTGCCAGCTGAAGGCAGCTATTGTATTTTTATTTTTTGTGCTTCTTTTAGCTATGCTGGTAACTGTCGTTGGTGTCTGACAACTTTGGTCTCATTTGGGATTGTGAAGTCTGCGTTTGTCCTTCTTGCGCACCTCCTGCCTCCCTGCTGGGGAAATTGCTGGAGGTGGGCGCGGATGAACGATCTGCTGGGGGCTGCAGTTGGTTTTCCTCCCTATCCGTATCGAAATAACGCTTGGTAAGCAGGCCAGGGGAGATGTCTCCTCCTTGGAGAGCTGGCCAGCTGAGCCGGATGTCCACTCCCGAGCAGGTTGGGGGCTGATGTCCTATCTCTGCAGAACATCCCCACTGGTGCATCGTGGAAAGCCGGTATCAAAGCTGAAGTAAACCTTTGCGGGCGGTGATGAAAGCCAGTTGGTGTGCGATGTCCCGCTTGTTAGCTAAGGTGGGACGCGGCTCCTGCTGATTTCTAAGCAAGCATCAGGCTTGTCTCCGGTGGAGCGGGCTAGAAGTTCTCACGTGCCCCGAAACAGGAGATGCCGCAAGGATCCTGCCTAGAGAAACCGCGTTAGAGTGCTTTGCGTCGTGCTGTAGTTCCCGATTTCGTCCATCCTTTCTTTTACGGTAGCTTCACCTTGATGCCAATACGCTGCTTTTATGTATTGAAAACCGCGGGAGTGTTCACGGAGTTAACGGGGAATTTTACGGATTGAATTTTCAGAGCAAACAGTCTGTGTCTGGATGCGCACTCGTACGTGAGAAATAATTGGGGCTGGTTTTGGGGCAGCTGAGAGTGCTCCTCGCAGTTAGAGAGGCGCTGCTGGTGTTCAGCATCGCAGAGCGGGCATTGCCAAGGACGCGATCTCTGTGATCAGCGTAAAATGGAACTTAAGTGAGGATTAATTCCTTGCTTAGCTTCTCAATTAGCTGTAATTCAGATTGAAAAGAGCTTAAACTCCAAGCACGGCTTTATCGTGGTGGGGACGTTTACCCCAGGAATCACTGGATAATGGATACGTAAATCCCTCTCTGTCATTTTTCCTAGGCTTTCCTCGCACCTTGTCGTGTCGCCTCACTAACACCTCCTTGGTGCCCATGACTTTCAACCTCCGCATTCCTGGGGACGGCTCGGGAGAGCCCAGCGTTACCAGCTTTGTTCAGCTGTCCGACAACGCTCACCCATCCCGGAGAAAGGGAGCTCAAGGTCCCGTCAAGCCGACCGAATTTACCATAGTGCCCTGCAGAGGGACCATCCGTTCCCAGGGATTCCTGGATATCCAGGTGTGGGATGAATCCGACCGTGCGTGCTTCGGCTGAAGCTTTGCTGACGTATGAGGAGGGCTTTAGTGCTGCTGGCGTAACGCGAGTAAGATGTACGCGCCGGTGTTAGGCTTTTGTTGGCCGAGTTAGTCTGGGATGTTTCTGGAGGAACACTGTTTTGTTTCCAAAATCGCAAGCTGAAGGTCACGTACCCTGTGGTCAAGCACAGAAGCCGTTCATGTGTTTTTGAGAGGTGCTTAAAGCGATTTCTTTGATTTAAAGTGGGCAGAGGAAGGATGAGGACAGAAGGTGGCTGTTAGAGAGGGATGTCATTGTATAAAGCAGTTTGCTTTTCTTCCCGGTCTTATTTCTCCTCTCCTGTTGAGCAGAAGGAGCTGTATTCACTGCAGCTCTGGCAGCCGTGAGCTGCCCGGCATCTTCTGGGCCACGTTTTGCCCTCAGCTTCCTGCTGTGAAGTTGAACTCACCCTGTTCAACTCAACAGGTCTCTTCTGGATTTATGCTATTGTGGTCGAGATTAAAAACTGGTCCCTTAATTTTAATACAGTGGTGAGCAGAGTATTTGTCTAATTGTGCTTTAATTTAGCTTACGTATGCCCTGATAACCGCACGGTGTATTTAACAAAGCAGACATCAGAAGACTTCTATTACTCCCACAGACTGTGCTCTGCACGTGGACCAGCAGAAGAATTAGGGCAAAATCCTCCTTTTCCTTATCGCGGAACGAGAACCGGAGGACACCGCCCACGGAGTGATGGAGTATTTGACTCTCTTCTCGTTCGCCAGGTCACCCTGTGTTCCAACACCGTGAAGAAATACGAGCTGGCGTTGGTGGTGGACGTGGATGGTGTTGGCGAGGAGGTGCTGGCCCTGCTCCTCACGGCCAGGTATCGGTGCTTTCCTTCCAGCTCATCGGCTCTCCTCGTGCATCCGCCGCCAGCACGCTGCCTTGCACGCGGCTTGCCAGCTCCGAACGAGAAGCGTTGCTTGATGAGCTAGTTCTGCCCAGCTAGATATGAGAACAGCAGTGCTTTGAAAGCAGCCCGTGTTGAGAAGCATCTGTGCTCAACGGACGGGCACGGCCCTGAGCCTTTTTCTAAAGGGAACAGTAATTATGTTAATTATTAACCTATTTTTTTGGTGCATGAGGCGTAACAAATTTCCAAAGGGCCGCGTCTCCTCCTTCCCACAAATGGGGGAACTTGTGCTGGGTTGCGACCAAAATGTGACGCTCATTAGGGACGCGGCGAGCAGCCTGCTGAAAGCTGGACGGTGCTTTCGTCAACAGATGCAGACACCTGCAAACGGGAAAGGGGCTTACGGTGGGGCTGGTGAGGGGAAAATAAAGGCTAGGTCTTCTGAAGGGAAAAATAGCCCTTGATGTGGAAGGTGAGCTCAGGTTTCTCTGCTTCCCTCTGGATTTTTTTTTTTTTTTTGAGCGTGAATGTTCTCAGATTTAAGCCAAAAGTTCTTCTTGCTGCAGCCAGGTTCGATCCTGTTGTGCTGCAGTGGGTGTCAGTTTAATTACAAGTAGGATGCAGTTCACTGGTGCTGTTCCGCCGTCCGGTCAGTGCCTGTGCTGCGATTTTGTAAAATAGGTGCAAATGGGAACAGGCAGCATACGGACACGGCGGGGGTGAAGGACCAAGACGTGGGACCTGGGAGAGGGTGATCACCAGGTGCTGCCTCGGACCCTCCATCGCTGGGGCAAACGGTTGAGGTTCTTCAGGCACCTTTTTCAGAGAGGAAGGAGTTGTTTTTACCGAGATACTGGGGTCTCGTGTTCCCTGAGCCTTGGGAAGGCTCCCCCAGAGCTCACGCCTTGCTGGGACCATTGGGAGGGTCCTTGCAAACCTCGTGTCGAGCAGACAGCTCTGGGCCAGGGCACGGCTCTGCCTGGCCGCTTGGCCGCACCGGCAAGCCTCTGCGATGCTGAGGCTCAGAGTTTGCCCCTCCTTTACAAGAAGCTGTTGAATAAAAGTGAACAAAAAGAAATTAAAGGCGATTTATTGCTGTAGGGGTATTAAATGTCTATTTGACAGTGACGAATGTGTTCTGCTCCATTTCACGCTAGTCGAGGAGTAAACAAATTCTACATTCCCTCAGTATTTCTAAATCCCTTTTGGTCATCTCTTTGCCTAGATGCGTGGTTCCGCTGCTGCAAGTCCTCAACCCCGTCATGACGTTTGGACGGTGCTTTCTAAAATACCCCTATCAGCAGATGCTGACCCTTGTGAACGACAGCGATCTTCCAGGCTGCTACGAGGTTCTTCCTCAGGTTTGGCATCGCATCTGCCTCCTGCCCTCAAATGTCATCGAGGGGTTTGTTAGGGGAGAAAAGGGGGTTTTGGATAAGACCTTGCTGGATTATGTTCAGATAGGTTCCTATTCTCACCTGAAGGTTTGGGAAGCAGTTTATATTCTAGACTTTGGGTTGCTTTGATGCAGGAGAACTTAGAGGACGATGAAAAGCTGCTGCAAGGAGGTTGCCGGCACAGGAGTGGGTGTTTGTGGATGCAGCAGCTTTCGGACCCCCTCAGGATGTTAAGCCCATACTGGTCTTACATCTGGTTTTGTGCCTCTCTGCTTTCTCCTAGGGATTTTTAAAAATGTGGGTGAATTGTCGTTGTGGTCGACGTCAAGGAGTTTAAAGTTTCCTCAGAGGTCACTCTGAAGTTGGGTCTGATCCTGTCCCTTACAGGAACGGGAGGAGGAGGAGGAGGATGCTGTGTGGTACTCCAGCCCCATGCCACATGGGATCATCCAGCCTCGCAGCTCGGTCGAGGTCCCGTTTACGCTGGAAGCCCAGGTGGTGGGAGAGCACGACACTGTTGCTCACGTCACGACGTTTGGGAGCAGAGGATCCCCGCTGGTGAGTCCTCGGCCACGGTTCCTGATGCCAGGGATCCTTCCTGGGATTGTAATATACAGCCGGTGTGGGCAGGGGAAGAGGGGATTCATGGCATGAGCTGACATCTAGAGAAGAGGAAGGATGGTATCTTCTTGGGCAGGTGATAAGCTAAGTCTGGCACGTAATTATGGATACGTGAGACGGGATAATGAGCCCAGTCTGAAACCCAGCACAATCCCTGGCTCTCGTACTCTGCCGCACGATTAAACGAGCCGCAACTGCTGCTTCAGTAGGGCTTGTGCTCAGGAGCGCGCAGGGACATCCCTGAATCCCCGTAAAGCGAGTGCCCTGTGAGTAACCACGCTGAGAGTCCGACCCGTCACGTCTGAGAAATACCCATCGTACCTCTGCGAAAAGCCACGCAGCTTGCATCTGGAGCAACAAGACTTTATTTCCACACACACACACCCCCTGAGCTTGGAAATGGATGAGGCAAAGCATTCCTGAAGATGTTATTCCTAAAGCCTCCTGAAAGATGTTGTTCGCATACAGAACAGCAGCAACAATAAGAAAACGTAGACAAGAGAACATCGTATGTAGTGTCCTGGCTTCATCTAGCTAAAATCTAGAACAAATTTAGTTAATTAAACTTTAATTTAAAATGATATTAACTTTTGAAGCAGCTGGTTTAAAATGTCTTGTCATCTCTCTGAGCATGAAATAGGATGTCAGAGGATTGCCGGGAACCTTAAGCTTTCTGTAACGGGAAGGAAGGCTGACATTTGGAAAGTACTCTCAGGGATTTAAACTTTCATTAAAACGGATGGAAATGATGCTGCTAAATCCCCTGGATGCCACCGAACATCTCAACCCCGGCCTTCGTGGGTGTGCATGTACACCAGTCAACAGGAAGGCCAGGCTTTGCAGGGAAGGCTGAAGTTTGACAAAACAGTTTGCTCGTCCGTAGAAGGCACATTTCCCTTAAAAATGAGGATTTCTCCCCTCTAGAACAACCCAGTTGTTTAACCGTTAACTTATTTCACTACAGATTTCTTGCAAAGCTTTTACCCTCAGGCTAACAATTTACAGCTTCAAAGTTTACCTTAATCTTTTGCATTTGGAGGTGAATATGTTTTTTTTTTTTTGCCCAAAGGGCGAGTGTTTCAGCCGGAGAACCCGAGCTGTCCCTAAAGAACCGACTAGCGCGGGATCGAGTGACTGTGTGTGCCCGTTAAGTCAATCTTTAGTGCGCAGCGTTTCCGCTCGGTTGCCGCTAGCACCCAGCGAGCGCTGGTGGGAACTTGGCCGGGTGTATTGACCGCACAGACGTGAGTTTTTTCTCGCTGTCAGGTATAGATCCTTCGCGTTTTCTATAGGTCTGCCTTATAGTTTGAGCGCAGTTTCGGTAGTTCCCTAGGAGCTGACTCAGCCAAAGCTTTCTGGGCTAGCGGAACAGCTAGCCGTCGTCTTGTCCGTCCCTGTGCTGGTGGCAAATCCTGCCCGTGTGGATCGTGTGATGTAAATCTGACCTCGGGGGAATCACTGCAGTGCGTTCGATGAAACAAGATACAAGCTTGCTCTTAAGTTACGCTGTCTGGTGTTGATGCCGAGTCTGTACGCTGTTGGAGGTGAGGTGAGGTACAGATCTTCCATCCAGGTTGCGTAGAGCCCCCTGCCCGGTATGTTGTTTGCAGGTGACTGCGTGCCAGCTTCACCGTGGCATGTGTGATCTCCTGCGTGAAGGAGCTGGTAGAACCCAGCCCTGGGGTTACTGGGGGCCGCTCAAACCACGGCTGCGTGCCAGGGACAGATGCTGCTTTCTGAAGTGATCCGACGTGACGTCGGATCCCCATGACAAAGCCGGCAGCGCTGCTGGAGGGGTGTATGTGCAGCAATATTACCGATGGCAAAGTTCCCATCTCCTTTTACGACCTTTCCCCGTGTATCACCTTGCCCGTAACGCTGTTGAACGGGATTTTTCTTCTCCATTTTAAGACGAAGGGATGTTTTTATAAGCCCTCTCCTTGGTGAGGATGCGTCGTGTTTGTACATGCTCTCTCATTGATGCCAGCTAGCATCCTCCCGACGTCGTTCTGCTCGTCTCCAAAGGGTTCTACCCTGCCTTTGCTGCTTCTGCCCCACTGTCACCTGGAAGCAAAGCCAGCTGGTGAGGCACAGCTCTTCCCTCCAGCTCCTTCTTCCCGGGAGCTTTGGGCAAGCATCACCCGGACTGCAGCTCTCCATGCCTCCCTTCTCCCGGCGGGATGAAACGTCCATCATCATGCATGGCTTCAGCTCCTTATTTTTGAGGTACCAGCCTTGGTACGCGATTTTTTATTTTTTTTTGGCTCGTTCTTGCACAGTGTCCTGTCAAGAGATGAGCTTTTATGGATGCTGCTCCTTCTGGCTGAGTTGGACAAGTGATTCTGACAGCTGTCAATGCCTTTTCCTCCAGTCGGACATCATTAAAGGTTTTACATCACGGAGGCTGGCTTCTTTTGTGGTTAAATCATACTCCGTGCCCTCCAGTGAATCGTACAGCATCTTGTCAGTGTTGGGAGTTTTCTGCACTGGGATTCTGTTTAAGAGTTGGGGTGTTTGGAACCGGTGAAATCCAACCAGACTGGATAAATTCTCGTTGTTTTTAACGCTGTGAGAAGGTGATTTAGCAGAGAGATACGCGTTCCTCCTCCAACAGTCTGTGGCAGTTCTGCAAGAAGAAAACTTTTGGGTCTCAGACTGTCAAAAGAAAATGCCGCTTGAATGATACAATTTAATTATTATTCTCTGTTATTTATGTAATATCAGGAGTACACATAGGCACAACTCAGAGGCAGGTAACGTACGTGGTCTCTACTCTGAAGAGCAGCTTTGCTGCTGGCTTGTGCTGGTTTTCCCGGGTATAGCTTTGGGAATGTTAAAGAAGTTACTGTCCAGAAGTCAGGGAGGGCAGTTTGGGGCAAGATTGAGCAGTAAAAAGAGTGGGAGCAGGCACAGGGTGTGGAGGAAGGAGAGCGAATTGGGGAGGGGGTGGGAAACCGGGTTTCTTTATCCTCTGGTGACGGGAGCTCGTGGCTTTCAGGTGGGATCGCTCCAGATCCCGCGCTTGCTCCAGGCTTTCTGCATCGGTCTTATAGCACTGAAAACTCCAACTAGCCAAACTGTCCCCTAGTCTAGGAGTACCCTTAGAGCTGTCTAAGCTTTTTAAACTTTCCCTGATGGTTTTTTAATCTTTCCTACCTGCTTCTTGGAGCAGGAAATCCATTTAGTGAGCGTCGGAGAAGGACCGGTTGTCTACGTGCATCCGAGTAAGATAAATTTCGGCAGTATCCAAGTTCTAGAAGATGCTTCCCGAGCTCTCTACCTCTCCAATCAAACTGTCATCCCTGCGTTCTTCTGGGCAGATATGGTAAGTACCCGTGGGGCTATTTTCCAACAAAAACGACTGGTCCATAGCAGCCTGTGACTTGATTTTTATATACAACATTTCCACATCGCTATCTGAGAGAGAAAGCAAGACATTCCATCATAATGCAGCGAGAGGAGCCTGGCTCTGGGGGACCCCTTAGTAAAACAGAGGATTTCCATAGATGTTTGAGCAGAAATGAGCCTGGATCATTTTTACGTGTTCTCTCTCTATTTTGCGGAAGGTATTTTCACTCTGAGTCGTGTTTTTTGGAGCTCTGAGATGACGAGAACCCTGTGGCCCTTTGCTCCTGAAAAGACACGGCTTTCCTGACCGTCTCCCTGTTACGTCTGTGTTTGCTTTGTGTCAGGCTCCTGTTAACGACCGAGACTAAGGTGTGAGGTCTGTCCTCAAACTGCTGGTGATAAGGCGAGGTTCACACCTACCGGGGGGGCCAAACCGGCTGGGTTCATTGCACAAAAATCCAGTCGTAAGGGTCGTGTACCTACGGAGTCTGTGGACTCCAGACCATCTCTGGAGACCAGCTGCAGAAAAAAAAAAAAGCTGTTTAATTCCTGGAGACCGCACAGTGCAACAAGCTGCCTAGCAGGAGAAGAGCTTGGCTGTTTTCCTGCCCGGGGGGAGCAGGGACGATGGAGCCGGGAAGGGCTCGTGGAGCTGCTGGAGGGGGGATTGGGGCAGGAAGACGGCGTTTGGAGAAGGTTTCTGCTTGTCTCTGCTAGGTGGGTTGAACTCCTGCGGTTGGTTAACTCAGGCTGAGTTTCCCTCTTGCTGCTTTTCCGGCTGTTTCACTCCAGTTTCTGTGCCCAGGAGGATAAACGTAACCTCCACGTGGGGAATTCCCAGGGCAACTTGCTTTGACTCCACAATGAAAATCTGCTTTCTGTCTCTGCAGAGAGCAAGCCACCTGGGATGGGTGGTACTGGTGTATAAACGATGGGGTTTGCAGGCTTGTACCCCAGACTGACCTGCAGAGCTGTTTAGGTACCGCTGTCCTGGTGCGATGCCCCCCCGGGCGGCTTGCAGGGGTGTAGCTGCCTCTCCGTTGCCTCGGTGCCTTAATTTATGGGATTGGGCAATAAATCCTGTCCTGCTGCACTGCAATCTCCGCAAACATCGTGGCTAATCAATAATAGAACAATGACACGAAATGATTCAGGGATGGCTTCTTCTCCTGCAGCGAAGATGGACTCTGCTGCTCCCTAGTCCCCCCCGTTGCCGACTTTGCGGGGTTGAGTTACCCCCCGGTGAGCGTCTCTGCTCCTCAGGAGAGCTGCTGGTATCATGGAGACATCCAAGGAGAGGCGGGGCCTCTGGAGCAGCACC